TACTAATAGTATACGTAAACAAAGAATACGTATACGTGGTTGTTTAGTTACTTATTATAGTACTAGTAGACGTAGTACGACCGACCGACCACTATTTATTATATATATATATATATATATATATATGTGTGTGTGTGTGTGTGTGTGTGTGTGTGTGTGTGTGTGTGTATGTGTGGGGAGGGGGGGGATAAGTGCCTGTAGGTGAAGTTCTACTGTACTTCACCTATAGCCCATCGTTGTTCATAGTCCATTACATGATCACGATTGTATGATAACTTTAGAATTTTAATAGTCTTTTTTCAAATCGCATTAACTAGAAATTTTGTGGATGTGTGTGACTTAGTTAGGCCCACCTGAATGAAATATAAAAAAAATTTTGATGAAAAAATGACCTAAATACCCGTCTGAATTTTATATTTTGGATGATAGAACAACCAAAATACCCCACTGAATTTTCAAGGGTATTTTTGACATTTTACTTTTTGATAATTTTTTTGATATTTTATTTTAATGGAAGTTGTTAAGATATATATACACTCCAAATTTTTTAAAAAATATGATGTGATAAACTTTGGATGGTGATAGGCCATAGGTGAAAATGCTGTAACAGTTAACTTATAGGCATTTGTAAATACTGTCAAAGGCCTGATCTGTCAAACCGCCCGGTTTTAAGTGGATTTGTCGTTGAGCCAGTTCGAGAATCAGTCCAATCCAACTGTACCCAGCAAAGGAATATTAATTGAAGGAAAATGTTTCTATACTTCTCCTACAACATAGAAGATATATACTCCCCCAATCCAAACATCTAATTTAGAACAAGCTACTTACCATTTAATCTTAAATCCGATGCTTAAGAGTATTTTATTTTTATTTTTTTTAGAAATTGTATGAATATGAAATTTGGTAGGTTCTATCTTCAATGGGGTACATCTAAAAAAATTATTAAAAATAACTTTTGATAAAATAAAATGACTAAAATACCTCTTGAAGCTATTAAAGGTATTTTGGTCATTTTATTTTAGAGGTAATATTTTTTACCGTTTTTACTAGTGCGAGTTTAAGAGAGGAGTGCCCAAAATTTGGTGTCGGAAATATTTTGTACAAAAAAAATTAAAAATAAAATTAATACAGAGACCCCACATTGTGATTGGGGATAATCTGTCCATTGAAAATGAACCGCTGTAGGGGAAGCGTACCTGAAAGTCCTTGTTAATGAGCATCCCCATTGTGCAGAACCCCGTGGCGACAACCGAAAGAAGAAGAAGCATCTCCATCGCCAACCCAAACGTCACAATGTGCTTAGACTTCACATACACCAACTCAATCAAAGGAAAAACCAAACCAAGAAGAGCAGCAGCACCGAGTGTGAGCACAAACCCTAACCCATATTGGGCACCCGTCACGCCCTTAGGCTTATCACCACTCGCCCTCAGCGCCAACAAGACCGAACCCAAGCTCAACAAAACCACAGCATTTATTGTATAGGTAGTTAACCTTTGGCCAACAATCAAGAATGCAAAGAAGGCGGTGAAGCCGAGCTGAGTTGAAACCAGGAGAGAGGAGGTTGAAATGGGGAGGTAAGAGAGGCCGAAAGCGTACATGTAGCCGCCAAGGCCGAAGAGCAGGCCTATGGCCGCGCTTTGAAGGGCCAAGGGAAAGGTAAGATGGGGCTGTCTTCTTTCAGATTTTGAGGCTTTTCTGGTGGAAAATTTGGAGAGAGAAAGAGGGATTAACAGGATGGGGAAAGCAGCTGTCTGGATCCAGGCAGTGAGCCACTTGCGTTGGCCGCCGTGTATGAAGTAGAGGCGGGAGACGAGGGGGGCGCCGGTGCCTCCGGCCACGAGGAGGAGGACAGTGAGGAGGAGGAGTAAGCGGTTGGTTTTTTTCTTTGGGGTGGTCATGGTGGTGTTGCTTTCGGTGGTGGTTTCTTCATTCATGGTGTAAGGCTTTTGTTTGGGAGAGATAAAGGTTACGACATTAAACGATCAAAATACGGTGACGTTTGTACAAAGTTGTTAAATAAGGCAGCCGTGTAAAATTTACTTAGACATGTTTTATTGTAAACCTTACTATAGCTCCAGAATTTTTTTTTCATCTTTAATTATAAAATTTAAAATTTAAAATTTAAAAAATTATATAAAAAACAAATAAAAAAACATTTGAAAATCTTGAAAATGGCCGGTCTATTTAATTTGTTATAAAATGTATCATTTTTAAAATTTAAAATTCGTTTTTTTTTTATTAACATCTATTTATCTCGATGACAAGATAATCACTGAATAAAAAAAAGCCTTCAACGTCAAATCAATCTCCAATATAGAATTTATGAGGTGCACCTTACTTGAACAGGATAAGATTATGACGGGTCAGTAAAATGGGGGAGGTGGTTTTGTTGATTAGTTAGGATTACGTGTGTGGTGTTGCTTATATTCATTCTACTTTCTTGTGTGAAGGTGATGCTTTGTCGTTTTAGTGTAGAAAACCTACGGCCATGCCAAACTTACAACTACTAAGAAAAAGGCTACAACAATAAAATCAAGGCGGAAGTAAAGTCGTGGTGTTTGAGCCCCACATCTTAGTCGTCGTATTCGGCAAGGCATCATATTTTGGTTTTCATTCTCACATACTTAATTTACGTAATATCTTAAAAAAAATAAAAATAAATAAAAACATCTTAAATTACTTCAAAATAAGAGCTAGTCATCACCTTAATAAAAAAAAAAAAACCAACTCCTAAATTACTTCAAAATAACCTACCCCAATTGAATTACCCAAAAAATAAAAAAGAGTTGTGGTTTTTATGTTTGTTTTGCAGGCCGGTGAGTCTGTTAAAAAGAGAGAACGAGACTCGTTCATAGGGCTGCCAATGGCCAGAGCCTGGATTTGGTTGTCCCTGGTCCTAATCCCTTTAGGGCCGGAACAAGCCTCACTTGGCTGTAATGCGGCCAAAAGGGCCTGGCCCAAGCTTGGCCCAGCTCTAATCAGGCCAAAAAAACCTGGCCAATCAAGCTAAAAGACCCTGGCCTTATCATGACATGGCCAATTAAAAAATAAAAAAAAATAAAAAAAGAAGTATCGGGCCGGGTTGAACCAGGTGAGCATTTGTCCCAATACACCCCTACATTCTGGTCGTGGTTACCCAACCCTCATGCCATATTTCATAACCCAAACCCTAGTTTTTTAAGGTCAAGTTGACTGGACCAGGCTGGCCCCCCAGCCCATTTCCACCCTAATCATGTGTTGGGAGAAAGAGAGTTAAACTGTGTCTGTCACTTTAGACGAGAGAGACCCAAAGGCTAGAGAAAAGCCAGGATATGACTTTAGACGAGAGAGACTCAAAGGCTAGAGAAAAGCCAGGATATTGAACTTAGCTGTTCAATACGAGAGAGAAACCAGACGTTGCAAATTTACCCATCGTGTTTGGAGAGGAGGATCCCGTGCGAGGGCTTTGAGTAAAATCGAACCGGAATGGTTAACTAAACATGGGTTTGGAAGTGGTTTAACGGGTTTAATTGGTAAATTGGCTTATTCAACTGTTTTAACTCGACAAGTCCCGAACGGTGAAAAAAATGTTGAAAAAATAAAAAAAAATCTACTAAAATATGAAAAGTATATAAAGAATAATTAAAACAAAACACATTCAAATGAAGTTGAAAATTAATGAAAAAAATAGATTTTAACTAATCAATTTTTTAATTAAAGTGAGTATTAATGACAAAAATAATTTTTAATCTTTACCCTAATGTAAAGAATATTAAAAAATATATTTCATACCAAATTTTTTATTTTTGAATATTTGTATACAGTTTTTAAATTTTCTTTTTTTTAAATACCGATCGATTATCCAAACTACTCAAAACCAGAACCGGCTACTGGCCGATTTCAATATAATCAGGTGGTTAGCGGTTAGACCACTCGATTTTTTTAACAATGGCTTGGAGGAGAGAATTAGGGGACTGGCATCAATTGGAGGAACTTTAAATTTATAACTACAGATGAAAATATAATTTAAGCCTCTCATAAAACTTTTCAGTATTAAAACCATATTTTTTCGATATTATTTGAAGGTCTAAACTCTATACAAACCGCACC